AGAAATCACTCTGCACACTTAGAGATTAATAAAGGAAAAGCTCTTTACATCAAAACAAAACAAAACAAACAACTCCCAGCCGACTGTGGCTAATGCCCAAGGTAGAGCTAGCCCTGAATAGAAGTTATTACTAACTTAAGTACACCTGAGGCTCACATATTTTATGTCCACTGCCATCCTCCAGTCTCCATTAGGTCCCAGCCCCAGGTCCTACTTTGGACAATTTGAACAGACACAGGAGACTGCAAGTCTGGCCACTTGGGCAGGTGGGAAATTTACACAACAAAGCTGAGTCCTCTATTTCTTCTTCTTCTTCTTCTTCTTCTTCTTCTTCTTCTTCTTCTTCTTCTTCTTCTTCTTCTTCTTCTTCTTCTTCTTCTTCTTCTTCTTCTTTTTTCCCCTAGGCAGGGTTTCTCTGTGTAGCTTTGGAGCCTGTCCTGGATCTTGCTCTGTAGACCAGGCTGGCCTCCAACTCACAGAGAACCGCCTGGCTCTGCCTCCCGAGTGCTGGGATTAAAGGTGTGCACCAGCACTGCCTGGCTGCTGAATTATTTCTTAAGCACACCGGAGCTGTTCATTTTGGATAGTTGTCACGGAGGTCCATCTTGCCCACCAGGTAGAACTATACTTTTCCTGATAATGTCACAGGGATCTTAATGGCAGACCAGGACTTGATGGCCATTGTGACTCTGTAGGTGCCTCCTTGAGCTGCCTGTCAGTGGTGTGTTCTTTGGGGATGGATCAAATATCTGGTCAAGTCCTGGTGAACAACCATTTTTATCCTAGCATCCTAAATTTTGCTTGGCTCTAACAGGCCTGGTGGGAAGACTATTCATCTTTGGGGTGTTTAGGAGGCAGCGCTCCCTTAGCTACATTCTATGTTGTGTGATTTAATGTCTCCTAAGCAAATCTATTGGTCAATCTATCATAACATCAGTTCTGCTACCTTGAGTTCCTACTGTATCAGACACATTCTAAGATGTTCGCACAACAGCAAATCATCCAATACTTTTAAGTGACACATAACTGTGTTTCCCTCTGGTGATTTGTCCCTTTCTGTGTTATGAGGAGACTTGGGAGCTAAATCCTGTGCTTGAAGTTGTTCGTGGTTAGATATGATCATAATGACTTTACAAAGCTCCCTGCCCCCACCCGCACCCTAACCGCAGAGGGCTGCATGTCCCCAGGGAGTGTAGGATGTCAGAAAGCTGTGAGTGAGACAGTGCTCTGAGAAAAACCAGAGAAGACAGAGGGAAAAAGAGGTGCAATTGGAGGAGGAGGAGGCGGAGGAGGAAGAGGGAGAGGAGGAAGGAGAGAGAGAGAGGAGAGGAGAGGAAGAGACTGACGTTAATGTGGGGCTGCCCTAAGGCTCTGGACCATGGGGATCCTGCCGCCCTGCTGTGCCTGCCCCTGCTGTCCTGTTCTCTGAGCCCCACTGTGAGGTGGCACCTGCGGTTTCCAGCTGTGAAGGCAAACACTGGAGAATGGGCAATAGAAAGGGAGAGAAACCTGTGAGAGACCCACGGTTTCTCTCCTGGGGCCCATTTCTCTGTCTCTTGAGGGGGTGTCTCTAACAGGGCCAGGAAGTCCACCTGGTCTTGAGACAAACATGAGCCTAAGAAACTTGAGCAACCATTACATCATTCCTGCTACTGTCTTGGTAATTGGAATGTCAAAATTCATGACACGGTGCTTTCTAAAATATGAATTTTAAGCAACTCTGGGAGGTGGGGGTGAGCAGGACTCTGAGGTTGTGTAAGATTGCCTCACTGGACTGCTCAAAACAGAGGCCTCTTCACCACAAGGTCTTGGCAAACAGGACAAAATGACAGTAATTTACTCATCCAGTGAATCAAACTTAGGGTTGTAATCTGAGCCTGAGCCAGGTTCTGCTGCCCCTCCTCGATAAGCCAATCAAAAGGGTCACGTTGATATTGGAAAACAGCAAGAGGAGATTTGTTCAACGTGGCCATATTGCAAAGAAGGATAAAGGGCCCCAAGGAACACCCAAGTCCATGTTCTGGGCCCCGAAGTGAGATTCAAATTTAAACAACTGGAGGAGGATGTGCGCATCTCAGCACACGGTCTCGATGTGGTCCTGCCCTGGGCTTCAGTCTCATTCTGTAAGGCAGTATGACGGGTTGTGAGCTGTGTGAAATCTCTCCCCTACACACAGAGTCCCCCTGTGGCTGGGACAGTTTCCTTCTCCCAGTATGGGGTTCCTGGGAAATTTGGGGTGCATCGTTTTGGTAGTTTGATAGTCTGGATGAGAGACACAGCATCTGTTCCCTGTCATTGCCATCAGGCTCATCTCAACAGGAGCTTCATGTTGTACGTCTCTAACCGAGGGACATTGTGTCTTCTGACCACATAGGCGTGTTCTGACACCACGACAGGGTCTATCAAGCTAGACTATGCTGTGGTCACCGCCTCCTAACAGGCTCTGTGCCTGGGGCCTCTTGTTACCCCTAGTCTATTCCATAAACCTAGGGGTGACATGTCCAAAGCACAAACATGATGCTAGAGTTTCCTTTCCCGCATCGTTTGCTGCCTCTGCCCGGTGCTCTCCCAACTGAAGAATGAATGCCTTGGTCCCCTGCCTGTCCTGTTTGTCTCTGTAACTTTCACCTCTCTCCCCCATATGCCTGTGCTCCTCATTCCTACACAGTCTTGCACAAGCCACACCCAGGTCTCTTTTCTGAAGCATTTTTGTGTCTGTCCTGAGATGTCTGCTGCTCTTAGCCTCAGTGCCTGTTGGTTCTCACTCCTTCTAGCTAGGCGTGGTGGCTTACGTGTAAAAATACTTCCCAGTGCTCAGGAATCTAAGGCAGGAGGACCACAGCAAGTTTGAGGCTTGCCTGGGTTACACAGCAAGATACTGTTTTTTTTTTTCTTTGTTTTGTTTTTGTTTTTGTTTTAGATAGAAGGTAGGAAAAAGGAAAAGAAAAAATGAAAACAGTTCTCAGAAACCAGAAACGTTTGAGTGCACTTCACCAGCCAAGACTGACTATCTCAGGCTGCAATTCAGTATTTTAAGGGTAGTGGTAGATGTATCGGCAAATTCTGATATTGGAGAAAAGCCACCTCCCCTCTGGGGAGACATCTCTACAGATGGGTGCCATTCCAGCCTCAAGTCCCACCTAGTGTCGCACCCCTTGACTTTTCCCTTGTCATATCAGAAGACCCAAGGTCCTGTTTGGTCTTCCCTACAGACCTTCGGGCTCCTGGCCAAGCCTTGCTCAGTGCAGTGGCTCCTTGGGGTAGTCTGGAGTGCCTAGCACTCAGTAAGTGTCCAATTAATGTATCCTGAAAGAAGCAGTGGCCCAAAAAGTGAATGGATAAGGAAATTAATTTCGTTCCAAAATTCTAGAGACTTCCTGATCCACACAGGACCTAGATCAGATTCAGACACAGCTATTTATGACCTCCTTTGTTTCATAAAACTAAAACTTCAGGGAACTACTTCCACTTTGGAGCACAGAATTTGGAGTAGCCCAAATCTGTGTTACCAGCCATGGTCACTCAACATGACTCCAGAATAAACTGTCTCTTACTCCCTTTGAGATGAGGGCTGTGGGTTTGTGTTACTGAAAACAGTAACACTCATGATAACAGGTCTAAGATCTGAGAGGAGCTCTTTCCCTTTATCAAACAGACCAGTTGTTTTTTTTTTTTCCTAATGGGAAGGAGGGTACTCAGTCACCATGACTGCTATTTACAGAAAATCCTATGGGATTCTGCAAAACTGGGTTACTCTGAGTTACTGGCCTGGATTCTAGAATGGCCACTTACACTCAGAGTTTACAGAGACATGAGATGAGAAGAAGCACTCTCAACACTAGGAATGTCCATCCTCTCTGCCCTTCGTCAGAGGCCAAGTCTCTGAGTAGTTGGTGTGGCCTCAAAGCTGCCCCAATTAGTCACTTGCCACAATGGCTCTGCTTCCTCTGTGTGCGAACCTCTGCTTCCAGCCTCTTATGGCTCTAGGCTTTTCTGACCTTTCTTGTTTAGTCATAACCAAGGCTTTGTCTCTTAGATGAGAATGCAGAGGCTGAATGGAGTAGGGACAGTGACAGCAGTCCCTAGGGAGATGGAACAGGACTCACAAACTGGAGCCAATGTCCTTGCTGGCCTGAACTCTTGGCCACTGACTAGGGACTGGAAGAGCTTCCACCATCCTGTGGAGATCATCTTGTCCTTGTAACTTACGATTTCAATCATCAGGCTCCACAGGCTAAGTGAACCAAGTCCAAGCTGTGTATAGGAACCAGGGAATTTGAAATGAAGAGCCAGGGGAGCTCATCCCCTTCATTGGCAAGTGAGTGTTTTCACCCCACTGTCCTGCTGCAGCCATGGTAGACTTGGGGGTAACTGCCACTTCCATCCATGTGAGGGCCACAGCAACCTATCAGTACACACACAGGATTCTATGTCTATTGGGAGAGTTGCCTGCCCTCTCGTATCCAGTAAAGAGTTTGTACGTGCCTGCCTGTGTTCTGTATATCCTTACTCAGTACAGCTCCCCAGACATGGAACAGTTTAGGTCCATTTTGGGAAGACTTTCCAAAGGGGAAGGGGAGAGAGGAGGGGGATGGGAATCAGGAGAGAGAGAGAGAGAGAGAGAGAGAGAGAGAGAGAGAGAGAGAGAGAGAGAGAGAGAGAATATAGCAATAAGAGAAGTAGGACTGTACAATGCCAAGCAGGAAGACGTCTGGGGAAGGGACCACACATTTGTTTTCTGCAGTGACAAGGGCCATTGGACAAAGTGGACAGAGGGACTATGCTCTGAGAGGTAAGGCCTAACATCAAAGATAGAGACATGGTGAGGGAGGTAAGCCTCAGTGGTTCAGAACGGACACAGGTTGCTGGCTCTGCTGGCTTTTTTTTTTTTTTCTTTTTATGATTAAATGGAGGGCTTGAGCTTCAGACAAAGGCAGAGCTGTTTATCACTTGGACCCCTGGGAAGGACAGACATGAAGGAGGCAGAAACAACATGCAGATCACTGGAATGGATAAAGACTTTATTTTTTTTTTATCGTTTCCCAGCCCCATAACCAAGGTCATTGATAAGACATTCCCTTTTGCCTTGGTTGGGCAGGTGCAAGGTGGCTGGTCTCCTAATTACATTCCAAAGCCTGAACCGTGGCTGTGTTCATCCCCACGCTGGTGTCCCTCATGCAACTTCTCATGGGTGGCAAAGATCAACTTTGCTATCAGCATCGTAAACTCCTCAAAGGACAGCTGCTTGTCCTGGTTTGTGTCCAGGTCCTCCATGATGTCATTTATGACTCTTTCATCCTTTTTCTCCTCCTGTGGGTGAAATGGAGGAGACTGTTAGAGCTGAGGGTAACCAGGGAAGAGGACCCTGGAACACAGTGGGCGACTAGATGGCAAACGCATAGGAAAATTTGGCCCCAGGGTTTAGGTTTAGAAATAAAAATAATGTACTGAGTGTTCATGATGGAGCAGATGCTAAACATGTATGAACACTTTCTAATTTGTCCCCCAGACAGCCCTCTGCCTTGGACACTAAGACTCCGCTCTATAGAAGGTCAAGCAATTAGTAAGTCTAGAAACATCCCTCATTCATCTTTATAACTACCTTATAGATAGAAATGGGAAATGGCAGTCTAAAAGGTAGATCATTTTTACAGGTTGTGGAGGCTGGGAGGAGAAGAGAGGGGCTGTAAATCTGAATCTGATTTGGAGGATTGTGTAGCCCCCCCCCTTCTCAGCCTCTCAGTTGCCCCTCACTCCAGTCCTTTCCTTGGAGCTAACTAGTTGGTAAAGTTTATTTAGGCTTAGTGGGGGAGACACCCAGGAAACCATGGGATCTTTAAGGGCCAAACCACGCTCTGCTGACCCCAAAGGGTGTGATAAAGTGTGGGGGAAGACTCAGATAAAGGGGAACGATCAAGATTTGGCAGCTGATGCATGAGCTGGCTGCAAGTCCTCCACTCACTTGCTGGGACACCTTGAGTAAGCAACGCCCCCTCCCACAACCTGAGTAGCTCGTGTTTGAGGTCCCAGTTTCCATTGGCCCATCACTCTGCTTCTGTCAGAGGATGTCAAGATAGGGCTTAGAATCCATGGAGGGATCACAGGGAAGACACCTGCCAGCACAGCTTCATGTACACCCTCGGTCTACCTGGCACTAGTGCCTTGCTTGCCTGATAGGCCCACTTATGAGGAGATGTCTGTGTCCCCAACACCTCCCACGATGACAATTCTCCAGTTTTCCTTGGTCCCAAGGGGGCATGGGATCAGCCCACATGGGATGACTGTAATTTGGACAGGCTCCTCACTTCCCCTGGGGAGAAGTTATTAAAAAAAAAAAAAAGGCTTTCTCTGACTTTGACACACATACATCCTCCCTCCCTCCTGGTGGTCCCCTCCTGTGCTGTCCATGGTGGCCATCCCTCCTTTTTTTCACACTATGCTATTTTCTTTAGTCTCCTCATAATGCATATGATGCTCTCTCACCTAAAGACTGGATCGTGGCTCCATCACCTTGAATCTCTCTCTCCTAATAAAGCCTATTCTAAATGGTAATTGATCTCAGCTTCCTTCTCCAGGAACCAACTGAATCTGCCATGCCATCTCATTGTTTTAACACCCCGTGAGTCCTTTACCAAGGACTCAGCTAAAGTGTTACCCCCTCAAAGGGGAGGTCCTTTTATTATTATTTTTTAAACCATAGCAGTTACCCCATCCTGCTGTACCCAGCACAGACTACCCACAGAACTCTTCAGTTCCTCCTGACTCCCAGGCCATTGGATTTATCTGTGTCCTCAAGGTTGTGTGTCACCACCACTGGGATAATGGAGTCCAGAATCATCTCTACATCCCTCTACCCAGAATAGGGTATCACACATTGCAGATGTTCAACTGAACAATTTCCTGACTCATGTCTAACTTTGACTACCTCTAGTGACAGAATTCCACTGCCTCTGGGGGAGGGTGGGGTTGTCTCCCTGACTGTGTAGAGAGTGCACCCTCCTCCCTTACTAACCAAGCCTCACCTTCAGAAAGGTTGCCAGATCGGTTTCCACCAACTTTTTGAATTCCTGCTGGCTCAGGGTATCTGGGTTTCCTCCCTTCCTAGAGTGCTGGTGGAAGACGTCGATGACGGTGTTTATGTTGCGTTCCATCACAGATGGTGTTTTGGTGGCCATCTTCCTGCTCCTCTCTGAAAGAAGGGGAAACAAAGATTACAAATGGAAGGGTAGGATCAGCATCCAGCTTCCCTGGTCTGATCTCTGGCCACTGTCAGACGGAAAGGGAGGGGGGACACAAAATAAAAAGAACAGTATGGAATGTAAAAAGGCAAAATATTTTATAGTACAACACTCTTAGAAAAAGTGAAGGAAGATATAAAATGGATAGAAGGAGGGCTTCTAGAGGAGGGCTTGGAAGAAAGTTGGCCAAGGGAAGGAATGAAAGATCTAGCAGCCAGGCTCCTCTCTGGAGAAGATGAAGTTCACTTACCAAAGCTAAAGAGCTACGGCGTGTTTGGCAAGAGCAGAGCAAGCCCAGCATTTATAGGCAGCCCCTTGCTAGACACATGGTCATCCCTGGGAAAGGTTGCTTCACAGGTGAGCAGTGTGGTAACCCTGCCAGTGAGGGAGCTGGGTGGAGCAGGAAATGTTCACACAACTCTTTTTGCTTTTTTTTTTCAAAATTCCCAGCCCTGGAGCTTGTTTAGGAGGAAACTGGTTAGTTGGCCCACTTCCCTTCCGTTCAACCCCCCATCCCCATCTTAAGCAAGACAGCCTGCCTGCCACACCTCTGATACTCTTCATTACCCTGTCCCAACTTGTAATATACAAAGGGTGTTAGGTGATCCATAGTGGCCATCTCGCTCTGTCTTTGTTTGCTATGTGGACACTCTGTCCCCTGAGTTTATGGAGGACTGAGCCTTCTCCTGTGTTTTCCTGCTCCCTTTGGGAAGGGTGAGGGGTTGTCATGAAGTTCTTGAGTGCAATTAGTGTTAGGAGGATCCTCAGAGGTGGTAACTCTTTCCCACTGTACATGAATCTGTTGTCCAGAAGGGGACCTGAACAAGACCTTTTTTTAGCTGGCCTGTGACCTTGCAGGGACTGAACTCAGATACCCCAGCTCGTGTTTAAGGGCACTTACTACTACATTCCCCTCTTGCATCCGAGTGAGGATCTATGTTCAGTACAAGTGTGACTCCAGGGCTCTCTGTGTCACTCTTCCAAATCCTGCTCCAGCTGTCATTCATGTCCCCTAGGAACTTACATCCTAGAAGACAGCTGTTTTAAAAATGATTATTAACCTATATTAACTGTACAAAGCAATGGGTTCCCAGCTGTCATTCATCCCCTAGGAACTTACATCCTAGAAGACAGCTGTTTTAAAAATGATTATTAACCTATATTAATTACACAAAGCAATGGGTTTCATTTTAACATTTTCATAATGCATATAATGTACTTTGATAAAAAATTTTCCCTCTATTCCCTTTTCTTATCCCCCTTTCTCTATTCCTTTCACTCCTTCTACTTTTCTGATAGTCCTCTTTCACATTCTTTTCTGGGGGCAGGGGTTCATCAACTCATCCTTTAGATCATGAGTCAGAAAGCAAAGTTTCTTTAGTAGCCTACCAGGGGCTGCAGACTGGGCACAGCAAGGGTTCCACCCACAGCCCCTTGCTTTGCTTTCCTGTCCTGTTTATCTCACCCTTAATCTTCACATATGAGAGAGAACATGCAATGCTTGTCTTGTGAGTCTAGTTTGTTTAACCTCTAGTTCCAACTATTTTTCTTATAAATGGTACACTTAGTTCTTCTTTATGGTTGAGTAAAGTTTGCGCACGCATGCATGCGTGCATGCGTGCGTGCGTGCGTGCGTGTGTGTGTGTGTGTGTGTGTGTGTGTGTGTGTGTGTGTATGTGTATACCACATTCTCTTTATCCATTGATCTATTGATGGGCACCTAGGCTTCTTGTACATCTTGACTATAGTGAATAGTTCCACAATGAACATAGATGTGCGGGTATGTCTATTGTATGCTGACTTTGATTCCTTTGGCTATATATCAGGAATAGCAATGCTGGGCTATATGATATCTTCACAAAGAACCTCCATGCTGATTTTCATGGTGATTGGATTAAGTTACATTCCCAATAAGTTCCACTTTGTTCATATTCATTCCAATACTTTTTTTTTGCCTCTTTTCTTTCTTTCTTTCTTATTTACTTATTTATTTTTTTTTTGAGACAGGGTTTTACTCTGTAGCTTTGGCTGGCTTGGAGTTCCCTATGTAGACCAGGCTGGCCTTGAACTGCAAGCTAATTCTGCGGTTTCTGAAAGTGTGCTACAGTCTACACTGATAACAACTGCTTATTCTGGTGCAGAGGAGCAGCTTAAAGGAGAGGGAGGAGAAGAAAAGAAGGTGAAAGAGAAAACTGAAATTAAAGGAGAGGGAGGGGAGAAGAGGCCGCTGTCAGCAGCAGCAAGCGCGGACTCTAAGCTAAGAGATGTACAGCAACTAGATCTTCGAATTGGTTCTATCATGATTGCCAAGAAACACCCCGATGCAGATTCGTTGTATGTAGAGGCAGATGTGGGAGAAGCGGCCCCGAGAACAGTTTTCAGTGCACTGGTGAATCGTGGTCCTCGAGAACGGATGCAAAATCAAACCGTGATTTTTACTTTGTAATCGGAAGCCAGCAAACATGCAGGCAGTATTGTCTCAAACTGTGGTGATGTGTGCTAGTCCACCAGAGAAAGTGGAGATTCTGACCCCTCCCAATGGGTCTGCTCCTGGAGATGGAATTACTTTTCATGCTTTCCCTGGAGAGCCTGACAAGGAGCTGAACCCTAAGAAGAAGATCTGGGAGCAGATCCAGCCTGACCTACACACCAATGATGAGTGTGTGGTCACATACAAAGGGCTCCATTTGAGGTGAAAGGGATGGGAGTCTGCAGGGCCCAAACCCTTGAACTCACAGAGAATCACCTGCCTTTGCCTCCAGAGTGCTGGGATTAAAGGCATGTGCCACCATGCCAGGCTGTTGCTTGTTTTCTTGATGGCATTTTCTGTGATTGAAGTGAGATGGAATTAGGAGTTTTGATTTGCAGTTCTGAAATGGGTAGTGATGTGAATATCTGTCATACATTTATTGGCTGTTTGTACTTGCTCATCTGTAAAAATGTCTGGTCAGTGAATTTGGCCAGTTTCTGACTGGATTATCTGTTCTTTTGATAGTTAGTTGTTCCACTTTTTTGTATATCCCTTGTTAGATGAATAGCTGGCACATATTTCCTGTCATTATGAAGACTGCTATTTCACTGCTGTTTCCTTTGCTTTTCAGAAGCATATTAATTCGATGTAATCTCCCTGATATTTCCTCAGCGGTTGGCAGATAGTTTTGCTGGGTGTATTATTCTAGGCTGACTGTCATAATCTTTTAGGACTTGGAATGTCCCATGGCCAATAGTGGAATTAAACAAGACAAGTGCTCTGTTACTGAAAGACATTGGAGAAACCTTAATAACAATAAAAGGGAGTATATTTGTCACTTTCATTTAAAAAAAAAAGGTGTATTAAAAGCTTAAAAAAACTACAAGTCACACATAAAGCAAAACCCATCAGAGTGACAGCTGATTTTCCAATTTTGGATGCCAGAAGAGCCTGGGACATTCATCTGTAAAAATGTCTTATTGAGTTCCATTCTCAATTCCTGTGTTGTCTCTATCGTTCCCTTCTGCTCCACGTTTTTCTTTTCCTGGGCACCACTCAGGTGCGTGTTCTCCCTCAGTTCTTTCTCCTTAATTCCACCAAGCTGCTTCTTCATGCCTTCTTTAAATGCCTCGAATTCTTTGATAAAAATTATGATTGTTCTTTTAAATTCTGTGTCCTGGCATTCATCTAGGTAATTCTCATCTGGAAACATTTCAACAGGATTGGTAGGTTCTAGAGAGAAGATGTTAGCTTGATGCTTCACATTGTTGGTATTTTGCCATGAGATCTGGGCAAACTTCTTTTGTTAGTTCCAAGTCTGATATGGACAGAGAAGGTTGGAACAGAAGAGATGATGTTTGGGCAGGTTGGGCCAAGAGGTTGGAAATGGCTTGAGTGGAAGGCAGTCAGATGGATAGAGGGCTGGTGTACAGGATGTGCCTCCAAGCCTGTAATGCTGGGTTAGTTCTGGCTGCTGAAAGGGTTTGATATGGCATGTGAGGGGCTTGGGCATTGGGAAAATAGGTAAGACAGGTCCTGGCAGAAATCTAAGATCTGTTGTGGCAGACAGCGGAAGACAGACTAGACGGGAGCACTGGACATGGGGCCTGGGCTACATCTGGCGGGCTGAGGAGAAGGCATGGATGGGGAAGGTGAGGGAGACTCACTGGTCAGATCCTAGAGTAGGAAGTGGTTGGGTGGGCAGAATGGAAGTGGTGCAGAAGGGACAAGGTAGTGCTCCAGGGCCTTTATGGCTTCTGGTTTACTTGTTCTCTTGTAGAGGAAGTTATCATCGCCTCATCAAAGTTGCCCTTCAGTCCCAACCCCACCCAGGCTGTACCCTGCCTGCCTGTAGGTAACCACAGATAGCTCCTCAGAGCCATCTTACTGCACCACTGACCCAGAATGAACATTGGGGACAAGTGTGCTGGGAAATCCAGATCCAGAGAACTCGGCAATCTCTGGGCTCTGTCCACACCAAGTCTTTGCTGACTAGCCACCTGGTAGGCTACCTCCAGCCCTGCCTGCACGTTAGGCTGCTCCTGCATCCATGTGGAGGTCCCTTCAGCCACCCGGCTTCTGAACTCTCATCCTGAGGCCTTCCTAAGACTACACACTTCTCTCATGTCTACCTGGGCACCTCTGCTGGGCATCTCTGATTGCTGGGAAACTTGACTTTCCAAGCTGACAAAGTGCTATTCCCTTTCTTGTCCCTGACTGCTGTTTTTCAGCCCCACCCCCACCGCCCCAGCTGCATAAGCTATTGTCCTCATTTCATTTCCTACTAAAAATTCCAGCTCTCATCTCAAGACTAGGAGGTGTCATATCTCGGTACCTTCCTGCTGGCTGACTCCACCTCACAGGAATCTCCTTGAAGTCTACAGCCCTTTGTAGAAAATAATAGGCTTTCCCAAGTAACACACTGTTGGCATTGTAATTATTGGCCCTTTGGTCTGTCTCCCTTACTGTTCTATTAATCTGCTAACTCGTCACTAGATAAGGTTTGCATACGAGAGACTGATAAACGTTTGCTAAATACAACGAAGGCTGTGTTGGTTTGGATGGAAGGTTATGTTTACAAGGTTATTTTCTGTAATTAAGAAGTTGTGCAACCCAGGAGACAGCAAGGGAGAAGACAAGGAAGTGGAGAGGAGTCGTTGAGAAACCGCACTGCTGGGGAGGGGAGGGGGTAGTTCCCTGCTGTGTGGGTAGAAGGGCATCATCAGGACTATCAAAGTGCATATGCTGCCACCTCATGGCCCGCCTGGGTTATGACAGCCTTGGTATTCTTTTGGACTCACTTCATTTTTCTTGTACAAATCCCCTTTTGTGGTAGCCACACCTGGAGCCTGTGCC